AGCCTACAAACGACCAGACAATATGACAAATACAACATCTACACTTTGTCTACCAGGATTAGCGCCTACTAAAGAATTTAGTCCAGTCTCTCGAATTGAACTACATAGGCGACTGAAAACAACGAAATATATCGAGTGGATTAAAAGATTGATACAATTCCACACTGAGATTTTGTCTTTATTAGTACCCCCTGTGCACCCGTTTTCCATCTGCATTTTAATTATTATTCTATCTTCGGAAAAAAATACAACGCCTTTTATTAGAACCACCTTGCTCATTAATATTTTGAAAATTTAGAGACAATTCTTATTTGGGCTTACAGCCATATTACGTGCGATCGAATGTCGAGTCTGGTTAGTATCAAGATGGGTGACCGCTTGGGAGGTGCTATAAGCTTGAATAAGTGGTGTAATGAATAATCTTTCGGAACTGAAAATTGGAGAATCGAGTTCCAATTATTTATATTCATTTACGCACAAAGGTCATTAAAAAAGATATGAATACACCTCTTCTCCCCCAGCTATGGGTTAATTAGTATGACTTGTATAGTTGCGTGATTGCATCCATCCAACTATTTCTATGAATATCTACAACTGACTAAAGATTGTTGCTGCGGAAAATTCAGTGAGGTCTGTAACCTGACCTATACATCTTCAATACCGTTGCGAGAGGTATGAATCCACCGTTTCTCCCCAAGTTTGGGGTTAACTAGCCGTTGAAGTAATGGATAGTGGCTTGGATTGAGAAATCGGAGAGCCGAGTTCGAATTCCAGTTGAATCCATTACATACACTAATGTGTTAATATCCTTGCGAAGGGTATGAAACCTCTTCTTCTCCCGCCAGCTATGCGTAAATAGCAGGACAGACCAGGACCTATAGCCTTGGATGACAACTGGTCTACCGCAGAAAGAAATGGCAACCTACTGCGAGAAAAGATCTGCTTCGTCAGTCATGTATCGAAAGATAGATGATCGCCTAAGCATGTATTACGCATGGCACATAACTGAATAACCCTTGGGAAAGGTATGAATCTTCTTCTCCCCGCAGCTATGGGTAAATAGCAGGACAGACCGAGTTCTATAGCCTTGTATGGCAACTGGTCTACCACAGAAAGATTTGGTAACCTACTGCGAGAAAAAATCTGCCTCGTCAGTCCTGTATCAAAAGATAGATGATCACCTAAACGTGTATCACTCATGCTACATAACTAACTAGATATCAGTAAATTATTATTATCTCCAAAAATTCTTACAATCTAAATATATTTTCAGGCTTTAAATTACCTGCAAAGGTTGATAAGCCGTAAAAAAAGATCAACTGATCCTTTTATTTGATACACTCTGTTTAATCGAGAGGCAAGTGTACCACAAACATTTGGCTAATTCGTTCTATTACCTTCTTAAGGTGTACAAGTCATTTGGGTTAAATATTGTTTCTCTGTGTAGTATAAGCAGAAAAAGAACTTAACCTTTTTTCGTATGGAAAAACCGAGGAAGGACGTAGATTAAATCGATCGAAAGATTCTTGTATAAAAAAGAAAGAAAAACAATAAATCCGAACAATTATTCCACTGACGATGAATCAAAGCGAAATTAAAATAAAAGGTATTCCGTCATCGTCGTCGTGTCGTGTACAGCGTAACTGGTTGCCGATCATAAAATAAAATCAGCGGTCCGAGTTCAAATTCCAGTCTAGACTGTGACGTTCACTTCTTAATGCTTCTGCTGATATTTCTATGGTTAATGCCCAGGAGAGCTCCATTCTTTACTTCCGCAAGTTCAGACATTTACAGGAGGCAGGGTGGAGTAATGGATAGCGGTTCGGATTGTCGAACCCATTATATTCATTTACGTGCTAATACCCTTGGGAATAGTATGGATCCTATTCTCCCCCCCACCAGCTATGGGTAAATAGCAACACAGACCGGATTCTACAGCATTGGATGGCAACTGATCTGCCGCAGAAAGAAATGGCAATCTACTGCGGTAAAAAATCTGCCTCGTCAGCCTTGTATCGAAAGATACATGATCGCCTAAGCGTGTATCACGCATGTCACATAACTGATTGAGAGGTAAGGCACGTTATTTCACTTCCACAGAGATGAATCACTCTTGTTTCCTCTTGTGTTCCGAATGTAACATGGAGCTTCTATCCTGACAGTTATTTTGCTCAAGAACTGATACTTTGTCGAACAGACTCCCGCGTGAGTGCTTCCATGACATTAAAATCTTACCCTCTTCAAGTCAAGGGTCAATCGCTATCGATCCTTCTCATCTTCATAATTCCCACTGCCTACTGTAAGGTCTATAGACGGGAGACTCTGCAGGTTTTGAGGAGCGTGGAACGATCTCTTAACTGCTGTTGTTCCCAGGTCTACCATGATCCGAGGTGGTAGCACCTGTTAGGGTCCCAGCTATGGGCAAGTAGTGAACCCCAAACAAAGACAAAACACTATGAAAGTAGAAAAAATACATTTTTATATAAAACAAGTTATTAACAATATATATTTACAGTTTAATTGCCAGTAATGCAATTTAAAATCAAAATGACCAGCAATACAATTTATAATAGAACTAGCAGCGTGGCCCGGCGTTGCACGTGCTTGATTCAAAAATCGTACGACACATACAGCAATCGCTATCACTTGACTTAAAATATTTTTGCCCTTACTTGCCTTTAAAGGAGTGCCCTTTGCCGTGCTGATGTTGCTACATGCCTTACTTTTTGCCTATCTCACACTGCGAATTTTTTCTAAGCTGTATACTAAACATTAAATCTGTTACGAAAAAAGAACTAAACAAAATGAACACAAAACGATCAGCTTTAAAAAAAGGACTCATGACTGGAAAAACCGAATGAAAAAAGAATGTTAACAACAAATACTTTTTCACACCCAACCCAGTTCTGCGGAATCAGAATCAACGTTGAGTTTAAGCAAGCGAATGAGTCAATTGGAGTAAAGTGCCATGCAGATTTAAATTTTTCCCACTTGTGACGAATGCAGCTATCGATTTTTTTTGCATGCTAGTTAACGTTCGTGTCAGTCAGCTGTTGGCTCTCACGCTGGCCAATAGAATCTTCCTTCCTATTCGTGGCAGCCAGCTATAGGCTCTCACTCTGGCCAGTACAAAATGGTCGCAAACTACATGAAAACTGCCGTAGAAGCATGAAAAAATCGATTATTTCCACTATCGATGGGAGTTGGAAAATGCAAGGTCGGTCTTGGCCTTCCCACTAACTTGGAGCATGTGCATGTAAATTTTGGTGCAAATCCGTCTAAAATTGCGGCCGTGCATTCGTTACACACACACACACACACACACACACACACACACACACACACACACACACACACACACACATCCTGCCTTTTATAGATAGAGATTATCAGTGATATCTTTTATAACAAAATGACTAACAATACATTTTATCTGTAGTTGAAGGCATACAATTGCGTTCAAAATATTTCGATTTCGGCATTAAATAACTCATAAAGGTTTTGATATGCTGCAAACAAAATCAATCGATCAATCCTACTGCCTTTTTTCTTACAAATCATATCACATATATCATTCATTACTATTTTTAAAATAACTGTCTACCTTGAGTGGTACTCGGGCCTTGTGTTATAGGATAATTTGTATTAGAAAATTAAAAAAAAACTTTTTAACAGGCATTATTAGTTCAAAAGGAGCAGTTTTTGATTATGTCTTTCTAAAGAAGTGTTTTAAGAACTGCGTTGTTTATCATTGATGAGAAAACACGCCTAGCAGCCAATGATCATGGATCTCTCGTAAGTACGATTGTTATTGGATACTTCGCTTTTGTGGCCTTGTGCCAGACTAAGATAGGTTTAAGGTATCTCACCATGTAAACACGCGATATCATTTAATGTTAATATAATTGACATTATTCCCATTTCGACCAATGGCCTACGGCTGAATCGTAATATTCGAGACGGCGAAGATGAGTTTGCAAGTCTGACTGATTAATCGAATATAAACCTTTCTATTTGACTTTCTGGGATGAGGAGTTATTATTGTCTCCATTATTTACACGCGGACTATTATCCATATCTTTATCGTTATTACTACAACATTTCGAGTTTTGTCTCTGATGTAATGAATGTGCATACACCTGGGTTCCCCCTTACAGTAATATGATTGGCTGGTGTCAGCCATAAATACAGACTGATGTGAAGATACAGGACGACGCCTATTGACTACGCCTATTACCTACCACTACGACGAGGACCAGTCGATGACGTTTACCTGCTAGATTGTCCTACCCGGTTACAGTAGTCTACAACCACTTTGCTACTTCGAACAAATATATCCCTTTCCGGGACATATCAGTTCTATCCGGTCTTCTTCAGGTGTCTCTTGATTCGGCTAACCTTCAAAAAATTTCAAACTGAACATTTTATTTAATCTACGTGGGTAGATGGTATTCATTCCACTGTCTAGACGAAATATCTCGTCATGTGTGTGTGTGTGTGTGTGTGTGTGTGTGTTTGTGTGTTCCGCAATCGATTAGGAATGCTCCGGGCAAGATTGACTGATGGAGCCCAACCCTCTTCATCTGTGTAAATCTTTCTCTTTGGACAGAAATGCACGCTTCAAAACCACGCAAAAGTTAAACTTCCTGTACTGAATTCCATGACGAGCGCTATACAGTCTTCCGAAATTAATTATTGCCTCTAAAGTGAGCTAAGCTAATGCACGTATAGGATCCTTGTTGGTATGTTTGTAAATATGCAGCTCAACATTTCCCGCGCTCAGTTATTGCTTGCAGTTTTCATTGAGTCTAATTCTATACTATGAGCCAGTAGCTTTATGGATCAAAGCGTATGTTCAGAAATTTAGTAACATAGTTATTATGAGTTCAATCCCTGGGTCAGAAAGCATAAACCTCACGCTCAGTGGAAAGAGGGCAAGCAATAACTGAGCCACATGTTCACAGATGCAAACAAAAATCTGTCCAAAGGAAAAGATTTACACAGATAAAAAAAGAGGGAGAAAAGAAGAGCGAGTGAGTGGCGTAACAGATAGATAGATAGATAGATAGATAGATAGATATGAACAGAATGAGATAGATAGATAGATAGATAGATAGATAGATAGATAGATAGATAGATAGATATGAATAGACAGGAATAGATACATAGATATGAACAATCCGGGCAGGATAGATTGATCGATAGATAGATATGAACAATCTAAGAGATATGAACATATTGTTAACACACACACACACACACACACACACACATATATATATATATGTCTATATTTCTGAGATGAGGTACTATGTACATTATTTACGTTATTCGGACTATTGTCCTCATCTTGGTCGCCATATCTATAGACAAGGAACACCATTGGAAAATTCGTAAACTTAAGGAATCAGCACATATGCTAGGCCACAAAAATCTCCTGAACCGACCAAGCATAGAAATAAATACAATATCGGAACCAGTAATAAGGAGTGCCAGAGAAAAGCAATCATAACAACAAAAGTTGCTATATGAGCTCTGGTAAAAACATGCATGATAACAGCAAAATTGCAATATGAGCACTGCTAAAAATGGTTGCTGAAAACATTAGGTTTATAATACCCAGAAATTCATACCCAGATGTCCTCAAGGACACATGGCACAGTGGATAAAGGCGTTGGTTAGATCCAGTGACAGGACCAAAGAGCGTGAGTTCCATACCCGGTTAAGGCATCCATCAAACACGTGTAACTAGAGCAGTGAGCGAAATAAAGGGTCCAGTTCTCGAAATTCCTGAAGAAGGACAAATATCCGAATAATGTAAATAATATATATATATATATATATATATATATATATATATAAAAACAATCTTTCTATATTTCTGAGATGAGGTATTATCTACATTATTCGCACTATATTCCTCATCTTTGTCGACATATTTCTTACAACATTTCGGCCGCTGTACGCTCCGGCCTCTTCAGGTTGGAATGTTGAACTGAAGCCTTTATTTCTCTCGCTGGGGTAGACTGTTCTAGTTTCATGTCTAATGGATGTCAGTTATCTCCTAGTAATTCATTTCAATTTTCCAAGTTAGATCCACTGACAGTTCAATACCTGGTTAAGGCAATGAAGAACTTGGAGAGGGGAATTAACAGGAGATAACTGATAATTGACATCCATTAAACATGGCACGTGGGACTAGAACAGTCGAAAGTGAGCGAACTTTCCTGAAGAAGGCCGGAGCGTACATCGGCCGAAACGTTGTAATAAATATGGCGACAAAGATGATGACAACAGTCCGAACAATGTAAATAGTGTATTAACAATCTGTTATATATAGATTGATAGGGAGAGAGAAAGAGGGGGTATCTAAAAGAAAGTGTGTGATCACTATGCGCCCCTGTTATCCTGGTTAAATTAATTTTGTACTGTGAAATGTGAAACCTAAAGTGATTGTTGTAAAATTAGAGTCTTCAATCTCTTTCTCTGTCCCTACCCTCAGCGTGTGCCTGACTCCCTTGGTCGTTTTTTTCTTCTCTCCTGCTTTTCCTTCTCTTCTGCTTTTTCTTCTCTCTCTCACTGCCACCTTCCTCCTCTCAACCCCACTACCACACCCGCCGATACACACGCATTAGCAAATGAAAAAAACAAAAAAACAAACAAAACAAAACGGGTATATAGGCGAAAACTTGACACGCGGGTATGGATGTAACATTCCTACCCGGTGGAGCCCTTAAATCTTTCTAATACTAAAATGGAGACTCGTTTCCATTTTCGGATGATTTTTTTTGTACCACTTGTAAACTGAAGCCAAATTACAACGGCAACGAAAAGCAAGATCTAAACGCACAAGAAAGAAAAAAAAATGAAGGTATCTTGAGGAACATACCTTCCGATCGTCTAAATTAAGTCATTTAATGTAAATTGAAGGAGAACATGAGATGTTTACATCAGTGAAAGCGTTGTTGACGACAAGAAGCTACATCGACGCGATTCCAAACACTGTCATGATACAGAATGCTCAGGTGGAGATGATTATTGTCTGAACAGGAAATAAAAATAAATCAAAAAAGAAATATCTATCTATCTATCTATCTATCTATCTATCTATCTATCTCTGTTCAAATCTATATTCTTACCAGGACTATCTATCTATCTATCTATCTATCTATCTATCTATCTATCTATCTATCTGTTGTATTCTCTTAATTTCTATCTATAGTATTCTGTTCATATCTATCTATCTGTCTATTCATAGATATCTACCTCTGTTCATATCTGTCTATCTATCTATCTATCTATCTATCTCATTCTCTTTCTATCTATCTATCTATCTATTTATCTATCTATCTATCTGTTCATAAATATCTATTTCAATCTGTTCATATCTATCTATCTATCTATCTATCTATCTATCTATCTATCTATCTATCTATCTATGCAGGGAATAAGTTTTAAAAAAAAAGTTTAAATGACTTATTAATTCCTAAATTTATTTAATATTATAATTAGTTATTTATTGAGCGTTTTGGGGCAGAAATCCTGTTCGGCTAACACTTAAAATTCTCGTAATTGTCTTGTAGTAAATCGTAAATTTTGAAAGACTATATGTATATTTAGTTTATGCAAAACTAGGTAATCCGCATGGGTAGACCCAAGGAGGATGATATCCGGAGAGCTCAATGTAAAATTCAGAGCCGATATGTTTGAATAAAAACAGACCACTTTAAGGTTCCATGTAATAAGTTATTTCACCGCAACCCCTTTAACAGGGCTCTGGATCATCAGACTTTACTTCCAAAGTTCAACCTTTGGAAGTAAAGTCTGATGATCCACAAATAACTTATTACATGGAACCTTAAAGTGGTCTGTTTTTATTCAATATATATATATATATATATATATATATATATATATATCGGGAATCGGAGAACCGAGTTCGAATTCCGGTCGAATCCATTACATTCATTTACATGCTAATACCCTTGGGAAAGGTGTGAATCCTCTTCTTCTCTCCCCAGCTATGGGTAAATAGCAGAACAGACTGGGTTCTATCCCCTTGGATGGCCACTAGTCTAGGGGAAGGACAACTCTGAATTCAAAACCTACGGAGGGTCATTTGGGGACCTTATGGCACGTTGTATATATATATATCGGTCTTGTTTGTTTTCTTTCATCTTCGGTTGGACACAACTAGAGTCCGCCATTTTTCTTGTAGCCAGACCTTCTTCTAGCTGGAAATATAAACGCACGTGTTTTCTTTTCATCTTCACCAACCCCGTTCCACTACAAATCCGCGAATATATGTACTCCTCCCCCACTAAAAGTGCTTATAAGTACGTATTTTGATTGTTAAAACCCTACATGCCTTAAACTTTCATCCTAAACACTTTAGAAACATTTTAGAAAAATAGTAATGGTGACCATATACTTAGCGTAATATTTTTTTCATACGTACAATAACCGTTTTTAATTACGCATTGATCGATACAACCATTGAAAATACTGTATAAAATATGCGTAACAAGACATAAAATAGAAAGTTTAAAACATTTTTTAAAAATAGAACTGTGATGATGACACCAGACTTAGTATAAGCCAATTTTAAGACCCCAGCTGCAGCCCCTAACAGAGAACAAAACCCAACCACTATCCATGTTTTTGCGTTTGTTTTTTTTTTACAGTAAAGATGTACAATTCTCTCAATTTTTACCATAAAAATGGACTGATATATGTTTTAAGCCACTTAAATAACAGGAAAATAATACAAGAATATTTTAAATATATTCTATCGAAAAAGTACACGAATCGAGGGATTTCTCAGTGAATAATTTGTATATATGTTCTTCAGAGAAAGAGGCGAATATTCGGGGTTTGGACGACTAACAAGTACATATGTTGTAAAAAAAAAAAATCCGCGAATGAGTGAAGCCGCGAATGCTGAAACGCGAATACGCGGGGACTCAATGTATTACTATATATAAATTTGCACTTTTTAAGAGTCAATTTGATCGAATATTACATTAATATAATATTTTGCCCTATATGTTTTCGTGCGTGTGCGTGTTAAACGTTTATTTAACGCGACGACTGATTTGTCTATATTTCTGAGAGGAGGTATTATGTACATTATTTACATTATTCGGACTATTGTCCTCATCTTTGTCGACATATTCATTACAACCTTTCGGCCGTTGTACGCTCCGGTCTTCTTCAGGTGTTTGGAATATCGAACTGAACCCTTCATTTCGCTCACTGGGGTAGTCTCTTCTAGTTCCACGTACCATGTTTAATGAACGTCAGTTATCGGTTATCTCCTGTTAGTTTCCCTCTGAAAGTTCTCCACTGCCTTAACCGGGTATTGAACTCACACTCTTTGGGTCCTGT